GACGACGACGACGAGGACGACTACTAGGACTACTACGACCACGGCCGCGACCACGACCACTACCACTACTCTAGTGCCACTACTGTGGCTACGACTACCAGTACTACATGCTAATGCTACTACTGCTGCGACTGCTACTACGCCTTTTAACAGAGCCGGCTGCTACTACTGCCGTTACGGCAACGGCTGCTACCGTGAAGATGATGGTGATTATGATGATAGTCTGAAGATGCTTTGTATGGTCGCTACGATCATCACAACCAGTCTGCGACATTCGCTATGACTACTTGATTCGAAATCGACTGGCTGGCTGCTCCCAAGGAAGCCGGCCTGAAATCGGTGGACAGGGAAAAGGCATCGCCAGGGGCTTAGCAAAGTCTGCGACAAGCTGCAAAGCAGCACAGCCAGTTCGAGTTACCGACCTTTGCGAGAACACAGCGGGCCGGTGGCTATTCCTGTGGAAATTTGCGCTCCCGTCCCGACATCGGGCATGCTGTTGAAACCAAAGCGGGGGTGTGAACACCGAACTACGAGAGACTATGCCTGCAATTGTGCGACCAAAATGCCCGACATTAGGGAACCTGGAGCCTCGAAGCAAGCCGTAATCAGAGCCCTTTGTCGAGGTAGGATTCCTCTGATCTTATTTTTCGGTTGGCTGGGATCCCACCCCTCCTGAGCATGACCTGCAGGAGCCCAACACAACGCACAAGCCATCCCTGAAAAAAAAAAGAGTTCCCAGAGCAAAAGCCTCAGGCGCCCGAGCTCTGCACCTCCCGGGCGAGCGGTGGGCCGGTCACAGTGGTTGATCAAGTTTCCAGGCCGGGAGGGGTCAGTTGCCGGTGTGGCATCTAGGGCAACAGACCATCCAACCGCATGCTCCATTGTCCACACCCTTGAGCCCGAACATTCGGCACTGCGGGCTTGACCTTGAAATCTTCAAGTCTCCGGAGAGCTTAGATGTCTGTGGTAACTCGCCAGGAGCGCCTGGCACTGGCCCAGGAGCCGAGATGGGCAAGATGGACCTTTGGAGCGCCACCTCTGCATTTACACGTCTGGACCGTCTGGAGTGTAGTGGTACTCGTAGCATGGCTGAGCCTCTAAGCTCACACGTAGAGGTAGAGGTCGCGGTTTTTCAGGACGTGAATGCAGTTGTGTCTTTTTTATGCCTGTGCTGCGCCCACTTTGACTTCATGTCAAGACACCTTTCCCTTGCCACAAGCCCGCACGGGTAGGGAGAAGCCAGTCGAACGAGCCTTGTACTGGACAGAAGCCAGCATGTGTAGGCTTCGCTCTCTGCTTGCACCCGGCATGCAGACTACGTTGGGCGAATATGTAACATTTCAGCGCACAACAGTTGCAGCCAGACTCAGCGAGGCAACATGACACATTGAACTTTAAGTGGCACCGCCTCTCAAAGTGCATGTTGGCATGTGCTTGATGCATCCCTTTCGAAACCTATCTAACCTTTGACAATCCCTTTCGAAGCCTATCTAACCTTGACAGTTGTGGAGTACTCCGATGATTTTGGTTGGCACTCGCTGCATGAGACGGGGTCTCACCAAAGTTCTGCTGCAATCGCATCATCGCATCTAGCGTCACATGCATGGCGTGTCCTAAACATGAATATAGTACATGACGAATGGAACTGGTATTGCTCTTCCTCGTCTCCTGCTCTGTGTCCGTATAGTCTTGCTGCGTTGTGTGGGGACCGCAATCCTGCTGTCTGGCATTGAAGCAGCCCAGGCAATCCGCCGCCTTTCTTCAGCTGTCCGTTCTGTAGCAGAAGGGTCCAGGTACCCAAGAGGCTGGGCCTTTGAACGAAATGTGTAATTCATCTACATAGCCGAAGCCTAAGCCGTTTGATTCAGGTTGCAAGCTTAGGAGAGGCCTAGGAGGAAAAGTGAACGATAGCGCAAGTGCGTTCCAGCATATCGTCCCGGGGTCACCAGCCAGAGCTGGTGATCATCTCATGTGAATGCGTGAGATCCTTACTGCCCTGTGCAGTATTTGGCCTTCCGATCCGGGGGTGTTGGCCTCGGAGTTTGTTTTGCAAGAGGACGGGGCAATTCAGGGAGTTGTTGGGGCTGCGGTGCAAAGCCTTGCCCCACCAGCTCGTTCTTGATTGTGTCCGGGATGCTGGCAGCAGCGGAGCTGCCAGTTTGAGCAGCTTGCCGAAAGTGCTGGTCTGACGCGCTGCCTCGTACCCCGAGGTTATGGTGCGAACCGGACCCAGGAGAGGCAAAGGACCGCAAGAGCAGCGGCTCGAAAACGATGGAGGTTTTCACCCAGAGAAGCGCAAGATCGCCAGAGTGGGCCCTGCCAGTAAATCGTGAGTTGCTTGAAATGGTACCCTGTGGCAAGCAATATCTATTGAGTTCTCTACAGGGATCTGGGGTCGTGATGGTGGGTTGATGTTGGACACCAATGGCCGTCCGAAGTTGTATTCCATGACCTGAGCGACAGAAGACCAACATCTGCAGAACGAGGTGGCGATCTGCGGCTTGATATCTTCAGAGTAGTGCAATCGTACAGCAACAGAGCACACGCTTACAGCCATGTGACATATATACACAAGTAGTTGTTACACTATGTTCAGGGAGTTGAGGAGATTCTGCACTTGCCAGGTAGTAAGCTCCACATACCGGCACGGCAACCGGGCGGACTTCTACCTAGGCCTCTCATGCCGGATTGTCATTTTTTGGCACATGGGGAGTCGACAGAGCACAGAAAGCCGTGGAAGCCAGCACAGCACCATGCCCTGACCAGACGGCAAGAAGATTGCGCTGGATTCGGGCCGCTGGGCATTCCACGAACAAAACAGGCCGACTGCTCCGCATAGTGTGTTTGTTGCCGGCTTCCCGTTCTTTTGGGTCAGTTGGTGTGTTCGTTCTTGTTTACTGTTGCTGCGGCTGGTGCTACCTTCGGCACTGATAGTGTTGCTGCTCTTCTTGCTGCTGTTGTTGTGGTGGCTTCTGGTGCCAGATCTGCTGGCGCTGCTGATGTTGATGTCATTGCGGTTGAATCCGCAGTCGCTGCTACTACCCGTTACTGTTGCTGCTGCTGCTGCTGTTGTTGTCCTCGTTGTGGTAGTAGCCGTAGCAGTAGGCTGTGTGCGAAGCGGCAGCAGCAGCTGCAGGAGTTAGGAGTAGGAGCCGTAGCAGGAGCAGGATCAGGAATAGGAGTGGATTAGGAATAGGAGGAGTGTATGTAGTAGTAGTAGTAGTAGTAGTAGTAGTAGCAGCAGTAGTAGTAGTAGTAGTAGTAGCAGTAGCAGTGGTAGTGGTAGTAGTAGTAGTAGTAGTAGTAGTACTAGTAGGAGGAGGAGGAGGAGT